GATCAATTAATCCGAGGCCTTAATTTATTCACAGGCGAGTAACTTGACTAAAGTGGTCCATTCATCTCTCGCTCAACAGCCACTTCTTTGCATCAATAGGCATATGTAGATGGGAAAAGGAGAAGAAAAGCAACATCAAGAGATGAGGGAAAAACTACTACCTCGTTCATGTCATGGGCCATGTTCTTCAAAGTATCCAAACCTTCTGAAATCATCTCCAGACCTTGATCCTGTTTTAAATTTAATGGTCATCATGCTAAGATATATAGAGACTTTATGATGAGAGGCAACTGAGAATTTCACTGCACTGTTTATGCTTCACCCACCTGCCTCCTCTTACGTGTTTCATACTCCTGCCTAAACTGATTCGACTGCTCAGATTCTTGGAAGTATTCATCATCAAACCGACCATCTACAACCAACATAAAAATGTAAGGAAAACGCACCTGAGTCGTCCAGTGAGCTATGCATCATTGGTAAACTCTCATTTACGGAAAGGAAAAAGAAACGAGGAACCATGCAACAATAGTAGATGATAATATGAACCAGATTTATAAATTACCTGAATCAAATTTTATTTCTGTGTGGGAAGCTGAGGGGCCCCAACCTCCAGGTTGTTTTGCTGCAGCTGCAGCACCATCTGGAATAGCTTGGATTCTATCTGGCAATGCAAGAACCAAGTCATTACGGGCCGCAAGGTCTTCTGTCGAAAGGCCTTTTATCTGTCAATGGATGGCAAATAAGACAACAAGAAAGGGAATCAGAACATTTCTACTTGAGCTTAGCTGATAAAACCAATAGATACCCTTCGTTACGAACGAACAGAAACATGAGGGGAAGGAAAACCTAGGGGCTTGCACTTAATATCTTCCGGAGTCCTTACAAACAAAAATAAAATGGGAGCCAAAAGGCTGAATTTAAAAAACTGGACCAAAAATTTGCCACAGGTTTCAAACTTCTCAAGTAACAAAATCCTATAGAACAAGACTTAATAATTACAATCCAGGTCTCCGAAAGGATGCTTTGGAAGACAAACCAAGAGAAAATTTTCAGCTATTCATATGGTTTTCTCGATTCCAAACAGCGAGAAACCGAAAACCTAGATATAAACTATTCTGATTGAATACCTTCTTTATTGCGAGCCTCTGCAACTTTGGAACCTCATCCAGCAATTTCGCCTTAGTCCGACGGAGCTCGGCATTGAGAGCTACAGTGGACGCTTGCTTTTCTCCTTGGAAGCAAGTTCCGCTTTCTGCAGATCAGAAAGATTAAAGGAGAGCAGAAACCGTTTCAACTCAACTAGACAGATTCGAAGATCCCTACGCTTTTTTCCTCGACTCGACTTGCAAGGAAAACCTGAATCGATCCGCCGTGAAAAAAACCTCGACGGGTGCACTAAGAAGGGGAGCAAAATCGGAAGTTACCTCAAGAGCGGCTTCGATTTCGGCGTCGATGGCGGCGTAACCGCGAGCGAAAGCGTCGTCACCAGAGACATTGAGATTCTTCTGCTTCTCGACGTCGTATTTGTCGTACTTGTTGCAGATCGCATCAACTCGCGTAAGGATGTCGATCACGCTCATTTCGCCGGTCTCTGTATTACTCCGTCTGCTAGTGGTTTACCCACACCGTGTTACGGCGGCTCGATATCTACGGGCTGTGCGCGGAAATGTTGCTTCGACTTCGCCGATTGTGTTTTGCTAGCGCAGCAAAAAACAACGTGTCGCAGTTACTTGGGTCCTCTGAAATCGGAACTAGTTATAGCAATTCCAAAGAATTGAGGTAGAATTTCCAAATGAATTCCACAAGTATTTAATAATTATAATAGAATGATATAATTATCCTCTTTATCAACTAAATTAATTATATATATGAAATATCAAACACAAGAATTCATTTGATAGTGAATTCTATGACAATTCATTTTATTTCTAAATATTTGATTATGTCATACCAAGAAAAAAATTTCATTTGACAATGAATTATATACGGTTATTCATTTTACAATGAAATGAATTCTAGATTCATTTGGTACATAGTGAATTCTATGACAATTCATTTTATTTCTAAATATTTGATCATGTCATACCAAGAAAAAAAATTCATTTGACAATGAATTATATACGGTTATTCATTTTACAATGAAATGAATTCTAGATTCATTTAGTACCAAATAATCTGTAAGTGAATTTCAGCCTTGCATCTCATTAAAATTCAATAGTTCAGATTAATCTAATTTAAAGAAGAACAATGTAGTCAAACTGACACCATAAGCTGAGAACGGGAAGGCAATATCCTTTCACTCTTGGTCACGAGGGAGAGATGCCTCATTGCAAATTTGCAAATGTTTAGTGCCAATTGCGACAAAGTTTTAAAAAAGGAGACTAGAAAAATGACTCATTGAAAAGAAAGAAAAAATTACACCTTCAAAGAGTCCATTGTTTTGATTATTTTTTAGAGTCACCCGGTGCACATTTTGAATGTCTAAACCTATTTAGTCGACATGGTCCTCATTCGGGAGTTTGTGTTTTCACAATGAGATAGGAGTAACGTTCACTCGACCCCTACTATTCTAACTAGGGATGGCAATCAAACCCATGACCGCGGGTACCCGACCGCCCCATACCCAGTCAACGCGGGGAATCCCCGCTTTGACCGGGTATGGGGCGGGTATGGGTAAAACCCGCAAAAGGTTTGATGGGTATGGGGCGGGTATGGTTTTAGCCTCCCCCGCCCCATACCCATACCCATACCCATACCCATACCCGCCCCACCAAGAGAATTTCTTCACATATCAAAAAATACGTGGATTAAATTGTAATCTTCAATGATGATGATGATAACTCGAGAAATAAATAGTAAAAATGCAATTGAGTAACCACCTTAATCAAAACCTACTTCATTTCCCTCAATTCTCCTTCCACTCTTTCACTTGCCCCTTGTCAACAAAATTATGTTAGTTAATTATTACTTAGTAAATGTATCAAGAGTTAGAGCATAATAATTTAAAAAATATTATAGTCTATATTATGTATTAATGGATGTTTTAGGATCATATTCTTTGAATCGTATTTAGAAAATGACCGTGTTTTGTTGACTTCGTGATATAATAGGTTTAATTTGTTTATGGTTATAATTAAAAACCTTTCTTGTAAGTTTTAGGTATAATAATGTTGGATGTACGGGGATGGGTATTACCCATGGGTACCCGAAACCCACGGGTATGGGGATGGTTTGCAAAACATTCCCCGCATGGGTATGGGGCGGGTATGGGTTTGGGTATTTGAAGATGGGGATGGGGATGGTTTAGGCAAACCCGCCCCAAACCCGCCCCATTGCCATCCCTAATTCTAACTAGTGCTACGAATAACTATAGTGCATACCATGTTGATTGTTTACCAGGTTGTACTAGTTTGAGTAGGTTACTTGGGAACAGTCAAACACCAAGTTGATAAGTCATCAAATACATCCTTACTTCGTTCTTCGAAGACAATATTTTCATATTAGGGTGTTTTAGATGATACAAATGTTGTAGGTATGAAAAGGGTCACACGTATAGAATTATGTGCGAAAATGAGAGATCACGACTAAGACCAAGGATAACCATGAAGAGAGGGCGTGAAGCTGTGCACCAAGATCCGACCTCTAGTGCCAAGATCACAGCCACAAAGATTGGCCCTCGTTGTCCATGCCCGCGATAAAGATCACGACCATGACATCCAGGATCGCGACCCTGATGTAAGGCCGCAAAATTCCCATCCAGAAAAGTGTAAATGGTGGCCTCCAACAACCCCTACTGCAAAGATCATGCCTGCGATCTTCCCCTTTCCCATCGTGAACTTTCCCGTGGGATATGAGCTTGGTCGACCACTATATTAACAACGTCATCTTGAGTTATACTTTGCTCAAGATGAGTTAGTTAATACAAGTTATGTAATCAATTTAATAACCCGCACGGGGTCACACCAATATTTTGATGTTCATTTCACCCTTGATCAACATTAATTGAGTTTGATATTGACCTATGAGAGAGAAAATCTGATTATGTGTTTAGAGCATCACATATTGGGAGTAAGGGGTCGGTAACGCAAGTGTGTATTAGGACTTTGCTTTGTATTGTGTGGGTGGGAATCTCACCCAATAGAGGGGGCTAGTGTCGGTTCCTTGATTGGTTGTTTTAGAGAAGGTTACAACCCTCTAAGCAACCGACTCAAGAGGGCCTCGATTGCTCAAGTACAGATTCAAGATCTAGTTAAAGACTCTACACTTTATGAATGAATAATGAATCAAGTTAGATGATCATCAATCATTTTTCTGGTTAGTGGCTAGGGGGATTTCAATGCCAAAGTAGCTCCCAACATATAATTTAGCTAGTGTAGTTCTTATAGTAGTTTAGTTAGTTTAGTTTCTTTACCTCCAACCTTGTTTGGCTAGATATAAAACCAAAGTGAAGTAACAGTACATCTAGAAACATGTAAACCCAATTGTTTTATTACATTACTTTCACTATACTACACACGGTTGCTAGTTATGCTTGACCTTCGATTGGGATGGTAGTTTAGAATGAGTCAAGTTTTTAGCTACGACGCTAAAAACATGACTCTTATCCCACTTAACTACTATCCCAACCATAGGCCAAGTGCAACCTATGATCGAGTGTAATATAGCGCAAGTAAGTTTTAATTATCAATTCGGGCAACAATTGTAGTATCACTTCTTATGAGAAGGGGCCCCGAACTCGACTCAATTAGCGCACACACCAACACCTACAAGTGTGCTATCTAATCATAAGTATAAACGTCCACATGGTGGAAAGTAAGGTAGTTAGGGGTTGCTAGTCAAGTGAGTGGTCAATTACATGTTCTTACTTGATATCTTGGTAACATAAAACGTAATATCATAAACATGATCAATGTAACTTGTATGCTTGCTTTGAAACATAGTTTAATGATGACATGCAATGTCATGCTTACTAAACATAAATAATATTAGCGTAAACATACACACAAAGCATATGTGAATGACTTAATTTAATGACATATTTAGATAAATTAAAGCAAAATACTAACTATATCAATTAAACCATGCACCTTATAATTTTAAGTCGGTTACTTAAGCCACCAACTCAAGGAGTTGACGCTCTGGATGGGTAATTTGCCTTGGTGAGCCTATGATGAAATCGAGGTTAGATCGGTTGGGTTACGTGTTCTTAACGACAGTTCTTGACTATAAGTTAAATTAGAAATCATATGATATTCTTCTTCGTTCTTCTTCTTGGTGTTTATTTAGAATACTAGCCTATAACCCGACCCGTTGGTCGGAGGAACTGAGCCAAATATTGAATTATTGGGATAACCCGTAGATTTAATATTCAGCTCAGCTCCTCCGTCGGGTTATAAGCTAGTTCAACTATAAGTGAAAATACACTACTTCAAGTGCCCTGATGAAATCATGTGAGCGATTATTGAATATTGACTGGACTGGTCGCAAGACCTCAACCTCCTCAACATGCGCTAACTGCAAAACTATCATTTCATCTGCAAACAACAGAAAGCTAGCATAAATAAGAGAATGAAAAGAAAAGCAATCAATCTGAACATGGTCTATATGAGCATCACATCTAAATTAGATAACTAAAGTAAAACCATGAGCTATGGTCGGATTCACTTTTCAAGCAATATGATTTTCATGTATCACCTAATGCATTGTACTTTGTACAGTAATTGAAATTCCGGAAGGATACTTCATGAAAGAATCATTAGAAGATTGAATCACCATCCAAACTTCTCAAAGGACAAAAGTCATTTAGAACATGCTTTATATCTGCGTTGGTACATGGTGACTTAACAACTAAGCCTACTTCTCACACCAATGAAACAACAAAAACAGAAGACACCTATGAACCCCAGAATGATCAAATCACAACCAAAAGGCCCAAAAAAGATTTAGAACTAAATTTGTTTGCTTGTTCCAGCATTAATCACTTAAATTATTATTATTACTACCCGCCACTGAAAGAAAGACAAAGGAACAAATAAGTAATCACCTAATAGCAGCATTGTCTCTATCTTGAGTTCTTGACCTGCCCTAGTTGTCGCCTGCATGCAAAAGTAAAACAAACCAAGACAGAAAGAAGTAAAGAAATGGAAGAGTAATGCAAGTTCCAGATCGTCATAACACGCAAGATGTAATAGACTCCTCCAAATTAGAATTATGCTAGGTACATCTATGGCTGAACCGTTAAAACATACTAATTCGCCCACCTCTCTCATTAGGCATACCTAAAGAATAAGGCTGGCGGTCATAGAGCTCTTCTATCATGCATCATTCATCCATTTCTCAACCTGCAACATCAGAAAAAAAAATATGAACATCCCAAATCTAGCAAGTATTTTCTTTACTCTATGTTGGGAATGCTGAGTAAAGAAAAAAAACTCATGTTTCTGCAAAAGTCACTAACCGAGCTGCAAATTGCAGAAAGACACATGCACCCTGCAAATCAAACAAACAACCTGATTTCCTTAAGTCCCATCTTCATGGACAACCCCTTAATTGACCCAAAAAGGGCCAATAAGTTTGAGAATCTTAAACTGAATCTGGAGAGTTCATATGTCCAAACCACTACTTAAAGCACTCAACCTAGCAGCCTCATCAAATGCTTATGTTGGAGGCATGAAACCTCGGACAATGTTAAATACAATGCAATCTTAACTCAATATAATGCGTAAACTGAAAAATGCCACAACAACCAACTAGAAAAAGTGTGAAAAGTGCAAGCAATTGCCTCTCCCAAAGAGCTGCAGTTAGTATCCGGATAGTCTAGAAGGCTAAAACACTATAAACAGTAAGCATCTCCCTAGTCTGTGATTGATGAAAAGTTGAAGTAATGCGTATCAGGTTCATACACCCCAAAAGGGTGTTCTTTCATACCATCCCTCTACTGATTAACCACAAAACCGAGACCCATTTACAAAACAACAGGAAGAAGCAGAAAATTGAATTCCTTTTGCTTTGAGGACTAAAGGAAAAACGGAACCAAGAGAGCTATGAAGCATTCACCTATATTCATGAAAACCACATCCATTAGAACCTACTCTCAACTCCTTTCTCCCATTCTCCTCTTCCCTAATTTCATCCTCATCATACTCCAAGGTAACCGTTGCATCGCCACTTTCCATTTGTACCTAACATCTTCCACCTTTTCCTTTCTTTCTATTCCTTGTGCAAGCTTATATTTGGACACATGAAGCGTGAAGCCACAAAGATTACGCCAAAAACAAACCCCAAATCCCTGCTTACTCACAAAACCAAAGCACATCATCTATATAGTCAACAACCACTATAAGCACAAAGAACCAAATTGGCCAGAGGAAGAGATGAAACAAATCTGTAGAGGACCCAAAAACTCAAACCAAAGAGGCACAACTTGAATGAGAGGCTTGCAATTGCAGCACCATACCAATATCCTTAGCATATTAACAGAAGCATCATCACAATATCAATGATGCATATACAGACACAACAGACAACTTCCCCTACTCTAATCAAGCCGGAAAGGAACTATAATGGCATGCCTATATCGTCCTATGTTCAACCATTTAGCTAGGCAGTCCTCGAATTCAATTCACAAACAGATAAGTTTCACGAAGCAGCAAAATGCAGACTAAACACACACTGTCATAACCCTGAATCAAAATTCCGCGTAAAGAAAACAACTATTTTACCTCTGGAGCCCTTCTCTTCCTCCTTCTCGGGCTTCTTCCTCTCTTTCTCTTCCTCCTTCAATCTATTGTTGCTCTTGGCAGCCTTAGCAGCGGCGGCCTTCTCTCTTTCCGCCACCTCCTCCTTCCTTTTTCGCTTCTCCTTGGCAGCCTTCGCCACCGCCGCGATCTCTTTCTCCGCCACGTCCTTCAAGAGGTAGTCGCTCTCCGCGGCCAGGAAGTCGAAGAGTTTCTCCACGATCCCTAGCGGATTGCTGGGATCAAAAGTGGCCGTGAAAGTCGAAGGCTGCGCAGGCGGCGAGGCAGCGGTGAAGACTTCTCATTCATTCTACGAATCCTCCAGCAAACAGAATTGTGATCAGAATCGATACACCAAAAGGGTACATAAACTAATTTTGAGCAAACAAATATGAGCAACTAATTGCAATTTCTTTTACAAAGCGGTTTCATTCATCAACTAAATGCACCTACCTCGTATATGAAAAGAGCAAGCATATATCAAAAGAGCAAGCAATCACAACACTCTGAATTTAATTGCTTTTGCATACCGGTTTTCAACCCTGCGTACGTAGTGCATGATGATTATGAGATCAGTATTATAGTCAAATCAAGGGCGTACAGGTCTTGCTCCTAGCTCTCTTGAAATGCAGTTTTCCTAAATAGTTGGTTCATAACATCCAAAATTTTCCGCTAAGGGAGCAGAGAAACAACATGGTCATGAATCAAACTCAAGTAATTTTTTTTAAGGATTCTCTACAATAGCTATAGAAGTAAGATCAACTGTAACATTAACTCTTGTCAAAATTGATTTGATGTTTAGAATAACGTGAGCTTCAATTATCTCATAATCACCAACCACCAAACGCTAAACCAAAATATATGTTAATGAATGAGAAAAAGTATCACATTTGGTGTCAGGGAAGAGAAAAACTTACGCGATCTTCAATCAGTATCCAAACTAATCACCCAAGGTCAGGGCTCGGTGAATTAATTAGTGGCCAAATTCCTATAATATATAAACATTTTAGAGTTAGTCGAAGAAAATTAATCACTCTGCATTTAAACATCATAATAGGAAGGGAAAAAAACAAAGTCCGCAGCACATTATATCTGCTGTAGGTTCCAATTTCTGCACCATGTTTCAGGTTATATTTGGTTGGTATCAAACCTCATAAGGCTTTTGTCACTTTATTTGTCTCCCCACTCCTCTTTCTATCCTTTATCCTTTCCTATTAATTAGTTTGTAAGAGGTGATATTAACCTAGGATAGAGAAAAGACATAAGTTAAAAGCAATGAATTCAAAAAAATAGCTAATTGTATTGACGAAGAACCATAATATATCACACTGACTTAAGTGGAACCATAATAAATCAGCAAATTTATCAAAAAAAAAAGTAACAAAGCAGCAAATAAACGACAACATCCAGGGTAAGAACCAATAAAAAGATGTTGTTCTTGAAAAATATGCACACTGTGATGGCAGCAACGATGATGCATGTAGAGCATCTATCTGAACTGGGGTTTCAAACTCTGAACACCCAAATTGGTTGAGCAATAGATAGGTATTCTCAATTCGGAGGGTGCATTCGAAAGAGCAGCTACCAGAACCAGACAATGCAATCGAAAGAGCAAAAAAAGAAACTGCATTCAGCCTTTCAATTACCTCGGATGATGAAGCGGGCAACTGTATCCATTTCATGAATAGGGAGCAAAAGATCAAGCATCGTGCCTCTTTGGCTATGGTACGTCTGGACTAAACACAAAAGACATCAGCCTTTTTTCTCTCCCTCACTTTCCACCCAGATTTGATTGAATTAAAGGAATTACCCGATCTCTGTTCTTTGTGGAATTGGGATGATGACTTCAATTCGATTGCAGATATTGGTGTGATAACTGGGTCTTCACTTGTTCATCTTCCCTCCCTTCGCGGCAGGAGCTCGAAGCAGATACAAATGTGGGAATTAAAGCAATTAGCTTCGACGGCGTACCACGACGTGGTTGAAATTCCTTCGACAGACTCGTGGTAGAGATGATGGGAGTTAGGCGGCGGGCTATTGTATCGGAATTTGGTGGAGGAGAAGAAGGGGTTTCGTGAACCCTTTGGCTGCTCCGCCCGTAACTGAACCACCGGAGAATACCTAGTCTGCCGTTGCTCGCGGTAGGATCGACGATCAGTGAAAGTGAGCGGGGAGGGAGAAATGAAATGGGCCGGAATGAAGGCCCAGGTGTTTGTTTATACATTTTACGCGCAGCCCAGGCAAGGTGCAGGCCGGGCAGACATGGAATGCGGAGAAATTTTTTGCCGCTACTTCCAAAAATACCCCTCCGAGAAACGTTCTGAAAGCAGGGATTTTGAAATGGGGCTTCAGTTTTAGGCTTCAGCGTATTATAATCTATAAGATATATGAAGCCAAAACAAGGGTTGAGTTTGCAGGGATTCAAATTTCCTGCCCGCAGATGGTTTGTCGGAAGGGCAATATAGGCAATTCACAGTTAAATAAAACTGTGCGTTTCACCTCCTACACTTTCTGTTGGTGGACCGGGCCAGTTTATAATATAGTCGGACCGGCCTCTAGCCCCCTGAAGTAGCCGGCCCAAATGCTTTCCCCCTGAAGTAGCCGGCCCAAAGACCTGCTGGTGAAATGCTTCCCTCGAAATCTCTCGGAACCCATATTCAGCTGCCGTGTTTGCTTCTTTCTCCGTCTCGCTTTCGGTCTCAAGCCCTGCACTTCAATACCACATATGCAATTGTGAGGGACGCGTGGGCGGAGGGAGTTGCTACTCCTCCAATTGAATTCCCCAACTATTCCCCAGCTGTAAGTGTGAAGGTCGTGTGTCAAGAGGGGAGGGATTGGAGACGCGTGGGAGGAGACAGCTTCTACAGCCTTTCGTGGTGTACTAATCAATCCTTTATTTTTGATCAATTAGAGCTTGCTGGTTCATGCTTAAGTGTGATTGCAATCAAGATAATGTCAGGAAATCAACAAACTGGTGGAACCTCTTCAGTACAAACCAGTGCTCACAACCGTCGGAATTCAAAGGGCAAATGTAATTTGATTTCTTTGGTTGTTTCCATGTTCCATTGTTATTGTACTTATTCAAAATGGACACAACATATAACCCCTTTCTCAATTCTGTCTTATTTTGCAGGGTTCATGCGAGCTATATTCAACCCGCCAAAACCTCCTTGCAGGCAACAAACTACTGCTGAAAGGGATCGTCTTAATCAACGTAGTCCCGCGACTCATTTTTAGACATGAAATTAAATTTTACTGTGTTACAAAATCAGAATAATTTGATTTGTATATTTCAATTGCAGAAATACTCACCCTTCAAGCACAAGTTCAGCATATTGATCGCTTGATATCTCAATTCTATCGAAAACGACGACGGGAGATTTTGAACACGCGCTTGCGACGTACTGTTCAACATATTCCACATGGTAAGCTTAGCATCTTTTAAACGTCGTTCTTTATTTTGTAAGGTGTATTATAGACTATTTTGCATACTCATGACATATTCCATATGTGCATTGCATTATATATGTCATGGAGAAGGATTCCACGTCGTTCTAATGGATTTAGTTCATGCATAATTAACTTTGTTACCACAGATTATAGTTCATGTATCTCCCGCCTTCGGACAAAAAGGGCACGTTTAATGCGAGCTATTCATCTGTACAAAAGGCGGATGGTTAATGCTGTACCGAGGGGGTTCTCCCGTTCCCATGGTTTGTGGCATCATATTTTATATTTTTACATTGTAAATACTTATTCATCATGTGTGAATTATCTTATGTAACTACTTTGATTGTAGGATATCCTGTTGTGGAACTTTTTAGTCTGGGTGAGCCTACAAGCATTTGTCAATACTGTGCAGCAATTATGTGGGTGCAAGAAAGTACGGTTCCTACTAAGAGTCGTGTCAATCCCGATTTCTCATTGTGTTGCAAAGCTGGAAAGGTCAAACTACCCCCTAGGCGTGCTCCACCAGATTTTTTGAATGAATTGTTACACTCTTCTACCCCTATGAGCCGTCATTTCCGGGAAGCCATTCGTAGATACAATGTTGTGTTTTGCTTTATCTCCCTGGGCGGGAAAGTGGATCGTGGTATAAATGATGGTCGAGAGGTGTATGTGTACTCTATAGGTGGACAAATTTATCACTCTATAGGCAGCTTATTACCTGCAGACGGTCAGCCACCGAGGTTTGCCCAATTATACATTCATGACTCAAGTTCTGAACTACAGAGTCGTTTGCAGCTATTTCCAGTTGATGATCAATCCAGTTCATTGCGACCAGAGATTGTTGAAAGATTGCAAGAAATGTTTGATAGAAACAATGTTCTGGTTCAAACCTTTCGGATGGCTAGGCAAAAGATGCAGGAAGGCAATGTGAAAGAGGTGAAGATCAAATTAATTGCCAAGCGTACTCATGATGGGAGAGAATATGATTTACCGACGGGGAATGACATAGCAGCCTTGATTGTTGATGAAACAGGGCAAGATACATTTGAGCCAGATATTATTGTTCAGTATAAGAGTTCTCAATTGGAGAGAATTAATTATCATCATCCATCATTAATGGCTTTACAATACCCAATTTTATTTCCTTATGGAGAGGATGGATGGCATCCGGACATAAGCTGTGATGATGATGATGATAATCTTTGGAATGACAAGACACTGTCCCAGTGTGATTATTATGCATACCGCCTACAGAGTAGATTTCAGGAGTCAAATTCGGTTTTATTATCTGGGAAATTATTTCAGCAGTATGTTGTGAATGCGTACGCATTAGTAGAGGCACAACGGCTTGATTGGATCCGAAATAACCAAGCTAAACTTCGTTCCCATTATCTGAGTGGGTTAGTGGGTGCATTCCTACGTGGTGATTCTGATTTAGAAATGACTGGAAAACATGTGATTTTGGCTGCTTCCCACACAGGAAGTCCACGGTACAAGTATGAAAACTTCCAGGATGCTATGACTATTTATAGGTGGTTGGGCTACCCAGATTTATTTATTACCTTCACCTGTAATGCAAATTGGCCGGAAATCCAGTTTATGGTTGATTTGGTAACCGCAGATGGTCGGAAAGATGTCAATAGATCTGATATTATTGCTCGGGTCTTCAAGCTTAAACTGCAGCAATTAATGTCTGAGATAAGAGATAAGAAAATATTTGGGACTACCACTGGATGTAAGTCGTACATGCTCCATAATTGTTATTTTAGTTTTTATCAATACTTTTGTTTCATATGATTGAATTATTTTATGCAAGTTGTCCTTTACCTAATAAGGTTTTGGAAGGCTCCAACGGCGGCCCCTACCCATTATTTTTTCCTGTTACATAGTCTGCCGCAATTTCTCATAATCAAGATTTATTTGTTGCCATATCTATTCAGCCATATATTCAGTGCGTGTTTTGTCATTCTGATTCCTTGCATAAAGGAGGGAAAATGGGAATTTTATCCAATTTACATTAAATTTTATTACATAATATTAGTGGTAATCATACCACAAGGAAACCCATCTGCATATCATGATGAGTTGTGAATTCAGCCACGCAGCCTAATTTTTTAATGAATTCTAGAAACCCAATCCATTATATTTTTATGGTGATCAGTATGCCTTTTAATGTTGCATTTGAAGTGGGTATATATAAGCATAGCCCTCCAATTCCAGAGTCGGAGCCTTTGAATATGTTAATTATGATTTTGGTTTTCGTATTTTATCTATACTTAATACATATTGTATTTGTTTGCAGTTGTGCTGGCAATTGAGTTTCAAAAGCGTGGCCTTCCCCATGCTCATTTGTTAGTCTTCCTAGCTGCGGAATGTAAACTAACTGGGCCGACGGCCATTGATTCAGTCATATCCGCAGAAATTCCAAACTCTGATATTGATCCAGAAGGCTATAGAGTTGTAACGGCATTTATGCTGCATGATCCATGTGGTATTTTGGGCCGTAATGCTCCTTGCACAGAAGGTGGTGTGTGTACTAAACATTTTCCAAAGCCGTTTTGTGAGCAAACAACGATTGATGATAATGGTTTTGCCAAATATTGACGACGTGACAGTGGAATATCTTTTAAAGTTAACTCTGTGTCATTGGACAATCGTTTTGTCGTGCCCTACAATCGCTATTTATTATTGCGATTCGATGCACATATAAATGTTGAGTTCTGCAATAAATCCAGGTATCTTTTTCATACCACATATAATATTTATGATCGACATTACTTTTTTATTCCCTTCCATGTAAAGTGCCAAATTTGGTAGCTTTTGTTGTGTTTTTTTTATTGGTTTACACGTATCAGTTTGGCTGTTGCATTACTACTCATTAGTTTTGTTGTATCTGATCATTAATCAGCAGGAAGAATAAGACGGTTACTTAATAAGGAAGGTTTGTCTGGGTTGTCATTGCCCAGTAATGAACATGAAACCTCAAACCATGTATGTCCTCAGAAGTCAGCACGGTGGGGAACAAGGGGAAGGGAAAAACAAAGCAATGGGTTCAGATTTAATTGGGGAGGTTGAAACTGTTGAACAAGAAGAGGTCCTGTTCGAAGATGATGCTGTTTTAAGGCGAAAGGGAGTGCAGCTTAAATTGATTGAGTCAGTTGGTTGCTTTTTTGTACAGGCTACATTTGAAGTGTGCTTACCGTATGCAGACCATTCATTCATCTCTTTCTTTTTTAAATTTTAGGGGACCTATAGTTGATGTCGTCTTATGGGATGATCTAATTGACGAATTTCAAGCTGTGACACCTAATGATCCTTTACCAGGAACAGTAGTTGTCTTCACTTCCGTTGTTGTCCGCCACTTCGCAGGTCTCTTACATGGTTTTCATTCTAATTTTCCAACCTGTTCTTTTATTTTATATTAGTGGTTATTGAGTTTCTAGATGTTATGGTTTTAGGGGAAGAATATTGTGTGGGTTAAAATGCAACGAAAGTATATTGCAACTTGCACTATCCTCACGTGCACCCCCTGCTTGATAAGTAAGTGTTTAACCTTTGTTCAATAGAATCAGTTCTTTTATTATTCTTATTCTCATGTTTTGGAATTATTTTTTCTTGATTTACAGTATAGAAAATGTCCCGCTGGCCATTGACTACACGTTGGAGGATGCTATATGGTTAAGTGAGATATGTTCCATTTCGGAACTGAATCTATACAAGACTGATTTCAACAACCAGGTAGTTTATATGTACACTCGGTCAAATCCTACAAAATTTTCCAAAGTCATATTTTGCTCCCATTGAATATCATAATTGTTGGCCTGGACAACATGGTTGGATTTCACTGT